GTGTGTGTGTGTGTGTGTGTGTGTGTGTGTGTGTGTGTGTGTGTGTGAAACATAAAACGTTGGCTCTCGAAAAACGTATCGACCGCGTTTACGAGGATAGAGTAATCCAAGGTAGGATTGGGTTCGATCGACATTTATCGATTCGAACCTCGACCAAATTCTTACTTTCGGGCTCACTTCCGTTCGACGTTCAGAGAATATAAATTACTTTAGTGAGAAGAACGTAACGTGTTTCTGTATTGCATACCACATCGTTATTACACATCGAGTGTGTGTAGATATGTACACATATGTATGTACACTTGTATGAGGATAAGAATAATTATATTATAGATACTTATGTATTCATTTACATTGATCGTTCTAAATTTAGCCGTTTGATATTCAAATGGTTGAATCATTGGCATACTCAAATCGAATGGAATATTATCCAACGTTTTCCGTTTGACCAATATACTCGTCAAAGGACTACTTAATGAAGAGTTGTAATATACACGATGAATTTAATTAAGTCTGATAAAATAATAGTTTTTTTTTTTTTTTCATATATTTTAGAACTTTTGCGATCTATTAAGTTATTTTATTTATAAGTAAATTTCATCAATAAGTTATTTAATCAAAAAGATCTCAGACAGGAATATGACTTATTATTTATATTTCAATAAAAATTTAAAAAAAAATGTTATATCAACATGTCATTTAAAGCTTCATTTGAATTCATACGCACCCTGTCATGTTTCCAATAGGATAAAGGTTGATTTTTCAAACAGGTTCCTTTTAAACGTTTGCAACGATTCGGTTGCTCAACAAACGCTTTAAATCCCACGCCTATTTTGTCGCATTCGTTTCCATCTTTGCTGATTTCGCTAGCTCTGACAATCAAATATTCTTCAAATACATCTAAAAATCAATATGTCATTGATCGTATCGATTTGATCGTTCATTGAATCGTAATAATTTGGAGAAAAAAGCTTTATAATTTATTGATTGAATGTTTGATAGAAATCTTGATAGAAATCTTGATAAAAATCTTGCATACTCATGAACCTTTAGATTGATTGATTTTGAAATCTTTTATCGTAGAAATAGAAGACGGTATTAGCAATCGATCCTTTTTAATATCCAAAGTAACAGGGAATTCTTTTGATACTTCTCTTTTAGCACGATAAGTAAAAGCTAGGGTATCGTCGTTGCTTATGTAATGTCTTGAAAAGGTATCCAATCTAAGAATGTTTATTTATTATTATTGTTAGAAAAAATTGAGTAAGAAAGAATCAATTAAAAAATGAATTTGACCTAATCATCGAAGGAGTTAGATCTTCCCAACGAGTAGTACCATCAGGTAAGCTTCGTCTTTCATATAATTGAAGAGACACTGCATGGTTTAGTATCGGTTCTTCCAAGCGATAAACAGAATACCTAGGAATATCTGATCGATAAGAAGCATTTGGGAGTCGTAAAAGGAGCTTATCTGAAGTATTTTCGGGCTGAACTTACCACAAATCACTGAAGCGAAGGCAGTGGGCAGATGCAGAGTATTTCGATTCGTCAACGTCCAAGGATTGATCGCGATTCGAACAATCCTGTCCACCACGGACTTGTTTAGCATCTGTTCCTATCAAAGTCGATTCCGATTCCTTCTTCATTTCTTCCCTTCTCATTTTCGACACCTTTGATTCGCCCATTTCCTTATTATCTTGAATACTCAACAAATTCCTTTTAGTCAATTTCCATTTACTTTTGGCCTCAGGTATGTCCAACGTATTCTCTGGACTCTTAGTTTTCTCTTTCTTCTTCTTCTTTTTTTTTTTCTTTCTTCGTATATCGGTAAGTTTCTTTATCTCTTCTTCAACATCCATCTTCTTCTTACGTTTCTCTATCTTTCGTTTATGGAGATCTGGAAAACGAGCTTTGTCAGTAGACTTGACATGGCTCTTTCCTATTTCTATTTCTCTTTTCACATTTGACAAATCTCCTCCTATCGATAACTCTCGTTCTATTACTTTTCCTGGAAATCTCGAATCTTTCGAATTTCTAACGTCAAGCCTTTTCTTCTTTGATACGCATTTAGTATCTTTAGGTTCTAAAAATATATTTAATACGTATCATCTATTATCCACAATTTACAATTTTATATTACAATATTACACCTTATGTACCCATTTAACGTGGGTGGGCTGAAATGTTCATAGTCTAGTGTAGAACCAATTTTGTTCATTTTTTCATTATAATCACTTTTACTGAGAAAATAATAAATTTCGTTTTTTTATGGAGACTCAAAACTTTTCAAACCTCCCCTCATATATTCTATAAAAAAATTTCAACAATATTGTTACCATGAGTTTTCAACAACATTTCAAAGTTAGCTTTATCGGTGGACTTGACATGACTATTTTTCTCTTTTATTTCTCTTTTCACATTTGATAGACGTCCTATCAATGTTTTTGGTTTTATTACTTCTCTAGAAGACCTCGAATCGTTCGAATTTTTAGTATTGGCCTTTCTCTTATTCCTTTTGTCTCTTTCCAAAAAAAGTTCTTTCTTCTTTGATAAAAGTTTAGAATTGATATCATTGGATACTGAAAATATTGAACAAAAATGTATATATGTATACAGAATGGTTTAAAAAAAGGGTCCGTAATTTAAACGGATTATAGTACTCGCAATGAATATGAAAGTAAAAAACTACTTGGCAAATTAAAACACGACGAGGTACCAAATTACGTTTGAAATGTCTGCTGCTAAATATTATAGTTTTTCAAGATTTATTTTGATTAAAAAAATTGTTCTAGCGTAAGTACTATAAACCATTTAAATTTAAGACTTCTTTTTTTTTAATCACCCGATATTTAAGAATATTTTTACCACGAGTTTTCAATAGCAATTGAGGAAAATGTCGAGACTGTTTCTGACGAGAATAAAATAGAAAAGATTTGTCATTATTCTTGCGATCTTTTAAAAGTGATCGTTTAACAGAACTTTTCGATGATTCGTCGCAGTTCCGATGTTGTTGTTCCTTCATATTCGAGTTAAGGGAAGTTTGATAAAACGGTCCTGTAGAATTCGCCTTTATCGAAGAGAGTAATTTCGAGGTGGAATCGTGAAGAGTATCCTTCGTTGTTTTCTTTTCTTTTATAGTAGAAGATCTTGATTCGACGAGTGGAAAAGTTGAGTTTCCAAGAGAGCCATTCACCGATGATAACAAAGCCGGTATTATTGATTTTCGTGTATCTGGACCAAGAGTGACGTCTTTATTGAAACGATATTTCATTATTTTCTTTTCAATTTTAGTATTTTCTTATACATTCATTTACGATGTTTCTCGTGTTTATCAAATTTTGTTATATTTTTCTTTGTTTAATATTCATAATGACGCTTCAATATTAACTTAACATTAAGATCATTTTTACGTAGGTTGACTTTAAAAAAAAATATGTAAAATGTAGAAAATAAAAAAAAAACAAAAAAAAATCTTTTTGTACCTTTTTTTCCAATAATCTTGTCGCATTTCGCTTTAGAATTCGTTATGTTCGATACATATGTATCTTCTGGCACGATGACAACATGTTTGAAACGCATCTGGGACTCATTCATCTGATTTTTCAATTTTTCTGAATCTATATCACTCGATGAAAGAAGGGGTTGTAACTTTTCGATAAAATCTGATGTAGCCAATGTATTTTTTCCTCGAATTTTTGAATTTTCATTTTTCCACAAACTCGTCAATTGATTTACTTTTTTAGCTATTGTTGTGCTGGTAGTAATAGCAGTAGAAGTAGTATATGCTTCATCGTTAATAGTTCTGGGAACATCAATAGTAGTTTTATTAATATTCCATTCTTTATGAGTAACTTTCATTCTGAAACAAGTATCTTGAATGGTAGTGGATATCGTTGTATAATTTCCATTCGTTTTCTTTCCATTTTGTTCAATCACTTTAGCCGTATTCGTAATTTCTTTTTCAAAGGTAACAGGAACGTCTGGTATTAACAATTCGACTGGAGGTTTTTTAGGTCGAGTAAAAGCTTTAGATTCAGTGATCTTTGAAATTGCAGTTGTATCAATCGAAATCTCTCCTTTATCTTGTAAATTTTCAATCGATACTACCGTTGTAGTATCAAATACTACTGAAAATATTGGACCGGTTTGATCAACAAAATTAATATTGTTTGTTAAATTGTCGTAAAGAATGATAGAATTATTTTCATTGGAAACAGAACTATTAAATAATGGAAGATACAAATTTTCATAATTTTGATTGTAAGAATTTATTTCTAAATTATCAGAAAAATTATTTTTCAAGTATGATGGTATATTATCATAAAGTTTTTCTGGTATCAATTTAATTGATGTGACATTGTCATTCGATAATTTCTCGTCACGTTTTAAATCATTATCTTGAAAATCATCTGCTTCTTTTTTTTCTCGAGCTAAATTCATTTCCGAATAGTCGTCTGTATCGTCCAAATAATTATCATTCTCTTCGTCAATCGGTGATTCTAAATTTTCATTGAAAATCGCATTTTTTGGATCGTATATAAAAAGTCTTTGATTAGGTTTTTCCGGATTATTGCGAAGTTTTTCGAGCTTGTAATTATCGTCATAAAAATGATCTTTTGATTCCAGTGGTGAATATATGCTTTTTTTATTTATTTCGTTAAATTGTTGATCATTATCGTTATTAATGAAAAATTGATCAGATCTGTCCTCGTCTTGAGATAATACATTAGATTCGATATTATTGAAAGGTGAATCGTTTTGATCATTAGCCTCGTTTGAAGTTAAATCTTGATTACTGAAATAACTATCGTTGTTTATCGTATCTACGTTTGATTCTACGTCAGGTACAGCGACAAATGCAATTGATATCGGCCGTCCATTAATTCCACCCTCAACGTGAATATTTCCATTAACAGATATATCAATATCTTCGTTTTTTCGACCATTAACATCAAATTCTATTTGTTTTTGATCATTCGAATCGTTCTCTAAAGATTCTAAAGACGATGATCTTGATGATTTTAAAAATGATCGAGATTGATCGTCGTATTTCATATCATTTTCCGTTTGATATGTTTTACTTGGATTGGCCAATGAAGACACTCGATCGTCAAATTTTAAATTTTCATTTTGATTTAGGTTTAATTCGTCGTTGGAATCTTCTAAATTAAAATCAAAATTCGTTCGAATTTTTCTAATATCATTGGGCCTTCTAGAATCAAAGTTTAAATTATAATCACGCTGTGGATAATATGATGCATCATGCACATTTTTCTTAACAATTTTTAATTCCTTCTTTGAATTTTTATGCTTCTCCGATTTAGAACGTGAATTACCACGATCAGCTATGACCCCAGCCATGTGTTTAATGTATTTATCAGCATTTATCATACTCTTGTCACTTTTTACATTATTATATAATTCATCGCTCCTAGAAATTTGTTGTTTCGATGAAGTTTCAGTATTTTGATCAATCATTTGGTCTGAAGAATCATTTCGATCTTTCTCATTAGTGGAATCGGTTGGTTGATCAACGTAATCTTCGTATTCAAAATTCTGTGAATCTAAATATTCAAAAGAAGGTTTAACATTTAAATTTTTATTCGAGTGATGATCGATCGATAATAATCGTCTCACAGTTCTTTCCATTTGATCATGCGAATATTCATTATCATCATTGTCATCATCATCATCATCACCATCAAAAGTATAATCATAGAATATAATTTCACTTGGATTTTTAGGATTGTTTCTAACGCTTTTAGTTATTGAAGACTTCTCATCCTTATTATCATCTGTTATATTCGATCGATGAAATTCATGAATAATATTATATTGTTGATTAGTAAACACGTTCTTATTTTGATGATCGTTCGTTTGATAAATTAACGGAAAGTTTGTATCACCCGATGAATTTATCTTCCTTAAGACGACGATCTTAGCATCGTCTAGATCGGGATAAGAGACAGCATTTCTTCTTGGATTACCAACGGTCGTACTATTTAAACGAGAACGACTTATAATCAGATCAGAGATTTGCCTCGCTTTCCAGCCACTCGGTTGAACGTTTGTACGATATCTGGATTCTTGAGCTCTCTCAGTGGACTTCTCCACTCCATTTACCGGATTCAACGAGAAAGAGGATTTATTTGAAGGTATTACTTTGTCTAAAGAAAGTGTATTGTCTTTAAGAACCTCAACATTCGTATTTCGACATTTTTCTGCAGGACTCTTAAAGTTTACCATTTTTTCTCTTACATTTTTTATTAATTCTCCTTTATTGAAATTATTTACAACGTTCAATTTCTCCTTTATTTTATTATCGATCAAATTTTCTACTTCTTCTCCTGAAATATCTTTAAAAACTTCTTTTTTCTTTTTATTAATTTTCATTTTGTATTTATCAGAACAATTCTTAGCTTCGTTCGAAGAATCTTTCAAAGTCTCGCTTATTCGATCAAATTTTTCTTCAATGTTTTTATCGATGTTATTTTGACGAATATTTTCATTCGTTAAAAATGGATTGTCCGTGGAATTGATATCTACAGTAGAATTTAAATATTTATCTTCTTGGAGATCGAACGGTTCATCGACAAAAATCTGAATAGTTTTAGAGGTATCATTTTTAACTTTAGATGGATAATCACGTATTTTTGTCAAATTCTTTTCATTCAATGACGTAGAAGACCCGTTCCATATCAAATTCTTTTCAGTATCATTATTATTTTCCTTTTGACTTCCTTTTCCTTGTCGTTTGATTTTCGATTTATTTTCTTCCCCTTTCAAAGAAAATTTTTCAAAGCTTTTTAAAGATCTCGGAGATCTATCAATCAGTACTGTGATATTACTATTTCTTTGTGCAAATATAAATAATTTATTATGAGTTTTTCCTTCATTATTAGAACTATTCAATTGTTTATTAATAACCATTGGATTACTTTTGTGAAGATGATTATTTATCATATTTATTTTTTTATTTTGATTAATCGGTATATCTTCGTCTGTTATCAAGAGTCTCGTTAAAAGTGCAAACACGTCGTTTTCATAAGAATTAAAAGAAGAGCTCGTAGACTTGTTAACAGTTGAGTTGGATGAAAGGACTGAGTGAACGTTATTAGTCTCTGATTCGTTCGATATCGTCGTTGTCGTCGTAGTTGTCGTCGTCGTTATCGTCGCTGTCGTCGTCGTCGTCGTCGTCGTCGTCGTCGTCGTCGTAGTGATACTATTAATCGAAATATTCTCTGTTGTAAAGTACCCAGTGAATTTCATTTTCCTCGGAACTTCAATATCGCACGATTGATCTTCATAAATCTTCTTGGAAGTTCCAACAAATCGTCTTGGAAACTGTTTCAATCTCGAAGCAGCGAGCAAACAGATAGACCTTTTGGAATTTGATTTTTCTTTATTTTTATTTTTATTTTTATTTTTTCTTATTTCTTTGTTATTTCTTCTTAGATAAAAGCAATTCTTTGTCCTTTCTCTATTCGTTCGTTCGTCCTTCGAATTTTCTCTTTTTTTCGTATTCTTTATAAATAGATTATTTTTTATTGGCAACTCCACATTTCTCGTACTACGATTCCTTCTTTTATTTTTCTTCATTTTCTTAAGAGTATCGTATGTCTTCTCTAATTCGGCCAGTTCATCCATTAAATTTATACGTCCTCGTTTGCTAATGTCGCCGATACGATCTTCGTGATTTTTCAAAGTGAGATCATTCAAAGTAACACGAGACTCGTCGATATAGGTTTTTGAATCGAAAGGTACTCTACTTTTATTAGCATTTAAATTTCTTGATTCTCTTATAGCTTGATCTTGGATTATATCGATATATGGTTCGATTTTTCCTTTGGTTTGCATTCTTGGAGAGAATAAAATTGATCTTATTAATAATGATGTCGTGTTTTCTATACTATCATCTTTTGCGAGGTCTGATTTTGTTACTAACTTGCTCTGGATATTTCTTTTTATGTTTGTATTGTAGAGATCTACATTTTCGATCTTGTTATCTGTATTACCAGTAGTGATATCAATAATATCTGCATTATCAATTGTAATACCTTTCTTACTAACGTTGATTTTTACATTATCATTATCTAATGAAATATCTTCATTGTCGACCGTCGATACATTATTAACAATATTACTTTGTTTTAATTGTCTACTGTTATATACCAAATAACCCTTCTTCATTCTTTCAATTTGATCAGTTTGTGCTGCAGCTGATAATACGGGATCATCGAACGATT